AGAAATTTGCTGGAGACATTTTTAAATAACATAGTAACTTAATTTAAATTTAACAGAATACAACTGAAATTAAAATTTATGGAAATGCCGAACTTCAGTTTGATTTTTTTTCCTCAAACTTTCAGTCTTCTGCTTTACTATACTATCCACATTCAAGAGATGTATAAACAGTATAGGTTGGCATATAATTAAGGGCTGGAATCTGATATACAGGTCATAAGTCCAAGTTTGAGGAAGCATTGAGAATTCTCAGGGACATGTAAAGTCCCATTTAAAAAAAATTAAAAACCTTACAACCTGTCTTAAATTAAGACAACTGAAAAATTTTGACAATGAATTAATGGAGAGATGAGTGTCTTTTTCAGTATTTCAGAACTGGGAAAAAAGAGCTCCGTTACTTAAAAATTTGAAATCCTGATACATGTAATTTTACTTGCTCCCAACAACCTTTGGTGGTATTCCTGTTTTTATCACTGAACGCTGTTGAAGGCTGATGGAGCAGTGTCAGCCTGGAGGTGTGGCCAGAATGCCACCCTGTCTGATCTGACGCTGTTGTTATCCCATTCACAGTTGCAACTTGGGAGTTAAGCAGGGAAGCTCTCCGAGCAGTTCAGAATACGTAGTGCATGTATAGGGTACGCGCCAGCGTGTATGTACCTTTCTCCTAAGTGTGTGCCTAGGACCTCTTGTTTTTGATCTGGAGGCCACTTGAATTAAGGATTTGTTCCAGGGTTCTATTCATAAGAAATGACAAGCTGGAAAGTAGAAATAGAGGTGGCCTGGAGAAGCTGGCATGCCTGACTGGATAAGATCATCAGCTTGGGAACCACACAGGCTGTATGGCTTGACAGACATTCCTAAGATCTCTTGGCAGGACAACTGGGTTTTTGATGACTTTGGGCTAGGTCTTGTTCATGACCCAAATGTTCATCAGGTGCATACTATATACCAGGGGCCAGTGTGTGATGATAAACACATTAGGGTCCCTTCCTTGTTCATAACCTAGGAGGGCACATGGTTTCACATACAAATAGAAGTCAGTATACTAAGGGTTACATAGTGGGATGAGTGGCATATAGTGGAAGCATAGGGAAAATTGAGACTTCTGCTTCTGACTGAAAGGAATGCTTTGTGGTCATGGGGAGTGAATAGGAATTGTCCAGGTAGAATAAAAGGACGTTCTAGGTAGAGAGCGAGAGAGATCTTTATATGTAAAATAGACAGACCCTGACAAATTTTAGAGAAAACTTTATACCAAATTGGTAACCCATGGCCTATTTTTTGAGGCAGAGTCTTGCTCTGTCACTCAGGCTGTAGTGCAGTGGTATGATTTCGGCTCACTGCACCCTCCACCCTCCGGGCTCAAGCAATCTTCTCATCAGTCTCCTGAGTAGCTGAAAACACAGGTGCATACTACTGTGCTTGGATATATTTTTGCATTTTTGAAAGAGATAAGATCTCACCATTCTGCCCAGGCTGGTCTCAAACTCCTGAGCTCAAGCAATCCTCCCACTTTGGCTTCCCAAAGTGCTGGAATTAAAGCATGCACCATGGCTCCTGGCCACTCATGGCTTTTAAAAATCATTATAGAAATCGTCAAAAATAAGGCAGGGTGCGGTGGCTCACACCTGTAATCCCAGCCCTTTGTGAGGCCAAGGTGTGTGGATCACCTGAGGTCAGGAGTTCAAGACCATCCTGGCCAACATGGTGAAACCCCATCTCTAATTTTTTTGAAAATACAAAAAAATTAGCTGGGCGTGGTGGCACACGCCTGTAATCCCAGCTACTTGGGAGGCTGAGTTAGGAGAATTGCTTGAACCCAAGAGGCAGAGATTGCAGTGAGCCGAGATTGCGCCACTACACTATAGCCTGGGCAACAGTGCAAGACTCCGTCTCCAAAAAAAAAAAAAAAAAAAAAAAATTACCAAAAATTGCCGGGTGTGATGGTGTTTGCCTGTAGTCCTAGCTACTCAGGAGGCTGAGGCAGGAGAATTGCTTGAACCTGGGAAGTGGAGATTGCAGTGAGCTGAGATCATGCCACTGCACTCCAGCCTGGGCGCGACAGTGAGACTCCATCTTAAAAAAAAAAAAAGAAATTGTTAAAAATATACAAGTAACGAGGCATATAACAAACCATCGCGTATCTACCAACCAGCTTCACAAATATCAACACTTCGTCAATCTTGTTTCAGTAGCCCTACATTGCTTTTTGTTGTTGTTGTTGGAGCAGTTTATTTTTTAGTGTATATATTTAAGGTCTACCACCTGATGTTTTTGTATATAGTCATGTGCCACTACATGGCATGCATATACAGTGGTGGTCCCGTAAGATTATAATAGGAACTGGAAAATCCCTATTGCCTGGTGACATGGTAGCCTTTATAATGTTATAGTACAGTTACCTTATTTTTGAAATAAATTTAGTGTAGCCTAAGTGTACAGTGTTTATAAAGTCTACAGTAGTGTACGGTAATGTCCTAGACCTTTACGTTCACTCACTTCTCCACTCACCCACCCAGATCAACTTGCAGTCCTGCAAACTCCATTTGTGGTAAGTACTCTATGCCGCAGCATTTAAAAAATCTTTTAGGCCTGGCACAGTGTCTCATGCCTGTAATTCCAGCGCTTTGGGAGGCTGAGACAGGTCACTTGAGATCAGGAGTTCAAGACCAGCCTGGCCAACATGGTGAAACCCCATTTCTACTAAAAATATACAAATTAGCCAGGCATGGCTGTGTGTGTCTGTAATCCCAGCTACTCAGGAGGCTGAGGCAAGAGAATTGCTTGAACCTGGGAGGCAGAGGCTGCAATGAGCCAATATTGTGCCACTGAACTCCAGCCTGGGTGACAGAGTGAGACTGTCTTAAAAAAAAATCTTCCAGATCATATTTAGATCATGTTTTTACTGTGCCTTTTCTATGTTTAGATATGTTTAAATACACAAATACTTCCCCTTGTGCTACATTTGCCTCCAGGATTCAGGGCAGTAACATGCTGTGCTGGTTTATAGCCTAGGAGCAATAGGCTCTAGCATATAGCCCAGGCTTGTAGATTTGTGTAAGTACACGCTTATATTCACACAGTGATGCTGATGCTGAATCCTGCACCTTCCATTCTCCATCCCTATCATTAAGCCACCCATAACTGTACTTAGCTTGATATACATATACATAGTGAAGTGATTACTATGGTCAAGCAAATTAACATGCCCATCATTTCATATAGTTAACTACCTTTCTTTCTTTTTTTGTGGTAAGAGTACCTAAAATCTACTCTCTTGACAAAGTACCAGTAAACAATACAATGTTATTAACTATAGTCTTCATGTTGTACATTAGCTTTCTAGATATTCATTCTGCATAACTGCAACCTTTGATCTATATTTGATCCCCAGCAGTTTAAAGCAAATCCCAGACATTATGTAATTCCCTTTGTAAATAGTATGTATCTGTAACTCATTAATAAAGATCCCCCCATGCCATTAATACAAAACAAAATGAGGATAATTCCCTAATACTCATCAATACCCAGTCCATGGGTATTGATTTCTCCCATTAACACAGGTTTCATTATCTAAGGGATTCTTTTTTTTTTTTTCTTTTTTTTTTTTTAAGCACACTACATTTTTCAGGGATGTTGGATACATGGGGCTTCACTATAATGCCATATTTTTATTTATTTCTTTGGAAATGCTATACTATTTATTTGGTTTTATTTCTGATCATTTAACGGATCAGACTGGCCCCATGGAGCCAGTCTGGAGGGCTGTACCTTAAAACTTTCTTTATTGCTTGTTTGTTATATATAAAGGCCTTTTCAGGGATGCAGTGAACATTCAAATTCTGAGAGCTAGATCGTAAATGGTTTAGGTTACTCTGACCAATTCCTTTGATTTTACTTCAGTGTTTTTTGTAGAGACGGGGTCTCACTCTATCGCCCAGGCTGGAATATAGTGGCATGCTCATAGCTCACTGAAGCCTCCAGTCCTGGGCTCAAGTGATCCTCTTGCCTCAGCTTCCCAATGGTTAGGACTACAGGGGTACCCACAGTTCTTGGCTAACTTTTAAATTTTTTGTAGCCATAGGGTGCAGCTATTGTCCAGCATAGTCTTGAACACCTGGCCTCAAGCAGTCCTCCTATCTTGGCCTCCCAAAGTGCTGGGATTACAGGTATGAGCCACTGCGTCTGGCCTTGCTTCAGTTTTTAGCTTCCAGTGTTTAGGTCATGTTCTCCTCAGCCTTTAAAAGCTGTTGCCTAGCATTCCTTCTTGGCATGGACCCAGCTCAGTGTCCTTACTCAGATGCTTGTAGTAGTCCCTGCAGCCTCAGCTGATCCTTCAGGGTTGGGCCTATGTTGTCTTTTTTTTTTTTTTCCTGAGGCTTTCTTAGATGACCTCAGCTTCTTTGGCTTCCTGTCCCTCTCCATTTTTTCTACCCCACACTCTAGTCTTTAATTATATGCTGTCTTTTTCTGTTGCTGTAACTGAATACCTGAGACTCAGCAATTTATAAAGAAAATATATTTCTTACAGTTTTGGAAATTATGAAGTCCAGTGTCTTGAGGCTATATCTGGGAGGGCCTTCTTGCTGGTAGGGACTCTGTAGAGTCCCAAGGTGGCTCAGAATATCCTGAGCCTGGTACATGCTGCTAGTCCATGCCACTTGTACCTCCTAGAGTGCTGGGTTGAGCTGCACTTGGGGTTGCTGAGTGGTGGAGTGGCTGAGGAGTGCTGCATTGGGATGCAGAAAGCAGAGACCCAAGGGGGTCCTGGGCAGCAACCCCATGGAGGGTGCCTGGATCCTTCTCTTGAAACCATTCCGCCCTTCTAGAGCTCTGGACCAGTGATGGGAGGGACAGCCTCAAAGATCTCTGAAATGCCAGTTGTCTTTTTCTCATTCTCTTGATAATTTCATCGTCAATAGTAATCTCCTTAACTAATGATCACCTAGCCACAGCCTTGTTTCCTCTCCTGAACACAGTTTTCACTTTTTTTTTTTTTTTTAAACATGGAATGCTTCATGAACTTGCATGTCATCCTTGCACAGGGACCATGCCAATCTTCTCTGCATTGGTCCAATTTTAGTATATGTGCAGCTGAAGGAAGCACCTTTTTTACTCTTAATGTGGTCAGACTACAGAGTACTGAAGTCTTCCCATTCTGTTTTCCTTTTAATTATACATTTTGTCTCTAAGTCATTTCTTTGCTCTCACATCTCACTGGATGTGGTCAAAAATAACCATGCACCATCCTGAATGCTTTGCTGCTTAAATATTTCTTCTGCCAGATATCTTAGTTTATTGCTCTCAAGGTCTGCATTTCATAAAGACCTAGGGCATGGACACAATTTAGCCAAGCTTGTTGCTACTTTGTGACAAGGATGGCCTTTACTCCAGTTTCCTATACTTTGTTCCTGATTTCCATCTAAGGCCTTGTCAGAATGGCCTTTACTGTTCAAATTTCTACCAACATTTCGGCCACCGCCACTGAAGCAATCTTGAAGAAGATTCAGACTTTCCACTAGCTCTTGTCTTCTGAGCCCTCATCAGAATCTCCCCTAATGCTCCACTTACAGCAATTATAGGCTTTTTCTAGCTTACTCCTTCGAACCCTTCCAGCCTCACTGCCCAGTTCCAAAGCCACTTCTACATTTTCAGCAGTTATAGCAGTGACCTCATTCTTGGTACCTATTTTCTGTCATAGTCAATTTTTGGTTGCTATAACTGAATGCCACAGACTGGGTAATTTATAAAAAAGAAAAAAATATTTCTCACAGTTCTGGAGGCTGTGAAGTCCAGAAGCATGATGCTGGCATCTGCTTGGCTTCAAATGAGGGCCTTCTTCCTGCCTCATAACGTAGCAGAAGGTATCACATAGCGAGAGGGCAAGAGTATTCATGTCAGCTCAAGTCTTTCCTCTTCTTCTCAAGCCCCCAGTTCTATCATGGGAACCCCATCCTGATGACCTCGTCTCATCCTTATTTCCTCCCAAAGGCCCTACCTCCACTCCACATAGGAATTTGAGGATTAAGTTGCCAACACATAAAAGTTGGGGGACACATTCAAACCATAGCATATGCTAATTGTTTTTTTGTTTGTTTTTTTGATATGGACTCTCTTGTCGCCCAGGCTGGAGTGTAATGGCACGATCTCACCTCACTGCAACCTCCACCTCCCGGGTTCCAGTGATTCTCCTGCCTCAGCCTCCCAAGTAGCTGGGATTATAGGCATGTGCCATCATACCTGGCTAATTTTTGTATTTTTAGTAGAGATGGGGTTTCATCATGTTGACCAGGCTGGTCTCGAACTCCTGACCTCATGTGATTTGCCCGCCTTGGTCTCCCAAAGTGCTAGGATTATAGGCGTGAGCCACTACGCCCAGCCTGATGTTTACTGTTTACACTTCTCTTTCGTGTAGACAAAATGAAACAGTAGAAAGGATAAGAACTTTGAAGCCAATGTAATCTAAATCTTTGAGTTTATATACTCATATTTTTAAAACCTTCTGGATAAAAAACAAAACACATGAGAAAATTTTAAGTGTACAATATCGTCAACTTACAAGCACAATGTTATGCAGCAGACTTCTAAAATGATTTTATCCTCTGTGACTGAAACTTTATATTCTTTAAACAACTCTCCATTTTCCTCTCTCCCCAAGTCCCTGGCATTCACTGTTTGCTCTACTTCTATGAGTTTGACTATTTATTTATTTTTGACTATTATTATTATTGAGACAGGGTCTCTCACTCTGTTGCCCAGTCTAGAGTACAGTGGCTTGATTGTAGCTCACTATAACTTAAACTCCTGTGCTCAAGTGATCCTCCCAAGCAGCTGAGACTAAAGGCATGTGCTGCTATACACAGCTAATTTATAGATTTTTTTTGTAGAGATGGAGATCTTGTTGTGTTGCCCAGGCTGGTCTCGAACTCATGTTCTCAAGTGATCCTCCCAAGTCCGCCTCCCAAAGTGCTGGGAGTACAGGTGTGAGTCACAGTGCCTGGCTGAGTTTGACTACTTTATATGCCTCATAAGAGTGGAATCATGTGCTATTTGTCCTCTGTGACTGTTTTATTTCTCTTGCATAATGTCTTCAAGGTTCATTCATGTTGTAGCATGTATCAGGATTTCCTTTTCATGGCTGAATAATCGTGTGTGTGTGTGTGTGTGTGTGTGTGTGTATCTATCACATTTTGTTTATCCATTCATCAGTGAGTGAATATTTAGGATGCTTCTACATTTTGGTTTTGTGAATAATGCTGCAGTGAACATGGGGAGTGCAAATAGCTTTTTGGGATTCTGACTTCAGTTCTTTTGGATAAATACCCAGAAATGAGATTGTTGGATCATATGCCTCAGTTTTTTTATGAAGGTTTGTAACATGGAACATGTGCATTGTTCCATGTAATTCATGGCGTGCAGAGTGGGTTGTTCCCTGTCTCGGCACCCTCTCTTGAAATCCGGTGTCCATATAGTTTGAGTATTTTAACTGTGCTTTATCATAAGTACTTAGTATTTCTTGCTTAACTAATGTCCTATTATTTTTTAGAGACAGTCTTGTTCTGTCAATCAGGCTGGAGTGCAGTGGCACAATCATAGTTCACTGTAACTTTGGAATCCTGGGCTCAAGCAGTCCTCCCACATTAGCCTCCTGAGTAGCTGAGACTATAGGTGCATGCTACCACACCCAGCTAACTAAAAAAAAATTTGTGTAGAGATAAGGTGTTACTGTGTTGCCCAGGCTAGTTTTGAACTCCTAGTCTCAGGTGATCCTCCTGCCTCAGCCTCCCAAGTAGCTGGATCTGCACTTATGTGCCACCATGCCTGTGTTTTTAACATAGCGACACGGGGTCTTGCTGTGTTATCTAGGCTGGTCTTGAACTCCTGGCCTCAAGCAGTGGTCTTGCTTTGACCTCCCAAAGTGCTGGGATTATAGGTGTAAGTCACTGTACCAGGCCTCTTTACTCTTTTTGATCATGTCTTCAATAACATTGAGAATTATTTTGGGGAGAAGTCACCATTTCCCTGCGAAAACCCTTTTATTCACTGGTCACTCACAGCAGCTGTGTCATTGAGGAAGTGTTGACACTGCTTTTGGTTTTTAAGTGACTGTGTGTTATTCATTCCCAGGGGTGGAAAAAAAATTGCAAGGTTGGAATTTTCTGGATTGTTAACAAGATCAAAAAGCAAAGATGTGAAGCCAAGGGGAGAACGTCTTTCTACAGAATAGTAGTAGAAAGCAAAAAATGCTAGAATTTTGTAGAACTTAAGAGGTATTACAAAAATAACCTGACCAGAAAATGAAGGTTGCTGTTTTTTATGTTACTCTAAAGTGTCAGACAGTTTAACCACGTAGGATTTTTAAGTTGTCTGGATCTCTAAAGAATATTGATAAAAATGCAGATACACATTCAGCTTTGTTTTAGAAGATGACTTGATTTCCTAGGACAGAAGTTATCTCATAGTTGTAATTTCGGTAACCATGGGTGTTAGCTTTGAAGTGGTTGATAAGAAGCTCTCTGATTCTCCTCTACTCAGAGAAGACACAGTTGCAGGCATTTCTCTGATTTTCCTCAGTTTTCATCTTAGAACCAGTAAAGGAGGGTTCACTAGCTTCAGCATCCCTAAAGCCAACATTGGGATGTTGAATTCTCCAGAAAGAGAGAGATCCTGTTTTCTCAGTTTGTTGTTGAGGTTTTGTTATTTGACATTTTTTGACAGCTAAGATCCAGATCTCGTGACTTGCGTTCTGGCCAGAGGACCCTCGGCTTTTTGTGATGAGTCATTTCCTCATGAGTACTGAGGTACTGGGTCTGGAACCCCCAGCTCAGAGTTGAGGGCTGCAGATCCAGCCTCTGCAGCTGGGAGGGAGAGCATGTGTCAGGAGGAAAGGGCTGAGGTCTTCAGGGCTGGTGGCTCAGAGTATATGAGTAGCCTGACACTGGCACCCATGTCCCGTGACCTCCTCTGGCCATTTGGATGCAGAATGATCGCCAGTCTTTTGTAAGATTGCCAAGAGCAAGGCAGCACCTCAGCCCCCGAGGAGTTAGCAGCAGGTTATCCAGAGAGAATCTCAGGCTTCTTATCAGAGTTGAGCTAGAGGGTGGGTTAGGCCTGTGGAATGCAGGAACAAGAAACCAAGTTATTAGATACAAGGTCAGGGCCTGCCTTTAAGCAGCAAGAACAACTTAGCCAGAGCTATTTAAATCTCTATCTTAGAAATTCCCGCTGGGTTGAGCCAGCAAGGGGAGTGTGCGGGCGAGGGTTAAGAGGCTTCAGCTGTGGGGAAAGAAGGGCTCTGGACATTAAAAACAACAGGCCAGACCTGAATGTCCTGATATCCTAGACCTAAATTGAGAGGTTTTTAGTGTCCTGGTAGCTCATTTTTAGCCTGCTTGCAAGTGAACAGATCTTAGGGATATATTCAGTGATGAGCTTGAAAACTGAGGATTACTTATGTGAATCTGGAAGTGGATGTAGTTTTAAATTCAATTTAGACAAAACAAATTCCTCAATTTTTCTGAAGTGTAAATTATAACCCTTTATTACAGAACTGTCAGTTAAATTCAGGAAAGAATTTACATTCATGAAAAGCAAATTGGTGCTTTTGGGTGCTCTAACTTATCAAGAAATAAATATATAAATCAAGAAGCTGAGCTTTGGAAAAAAGAAATAAATATGAAATCACCCAATAATCCATCCTGAGTAGATGAATGATTAAAGATCTTTGAGGTTAGGTTGCTTTAGGTCAAGGGAAAACTCACCCTAGCCTTTGTGGTTCACATAAGCGCACATAACAGTGCAGAATTTATTCCTTGGCTCTGTTTGTCATACAGATTAAATTCCAAAGTCAGCTGAAGCTTGGCTCATTGCTCACAGAATCCTAACACTTAAACCAATTTTATCATCTTTAAGAAAGTTGGAAACTTAATACCTTTAGAGAGTATATAAATGCTTAGGCTGTTTAAAAACACTCTCATTCAAATGCCTTATTTCCTAAGGTCATATGGCTCTAGGTGTCTGGGCAGATTGAACTAGCAGAGATTCAGTGGGCTTCATTGGTGACTTGGGAGGAGGTAGGGGCATGTCATCAATACAAAGGTGTAGTCC